AGAGACGTCAGCTGGTCACATAGGTCACCTTCCTGGCCAGGATGGAACCGATGCTGCAGTTAATGCAGATAGCCTCATATTGGTGAGCTTTTTAACATGTTGTGCCAAGTTCCTTCTACTATGTATCAGAGATCTTTGTTTCTGCAATTCCCAGTTAGTGGGATCTTATTTTGCAGAGTAGTTTTAACTCAAAGTTCTTTTATTATCATCAGGTTTCATAAGTTATATAATAAAGGAGGGTGTTTCCTTTTCCTCAAACAAAAAGGGTGAAGGCTCAGGATGTTGGGAAATTGACTTCAGGTTAGGGAACTAATTAGTGGCAGAGCTGAAACTAGAACCCAGAGCTCTCTTCAACTTTTATTAAAGAGTTATCAACTCTTATCTAATTTACATAAGAATGGGCGACTGAAAATGCAAGTTATCATTCAGTATGCCTTAGATTGAGACTGAGATTCTACATTTCTTACAGGCTTCCAGGTTACTGCTGATCCTTGGATCACACTTCTGTGTAGTAGAGCAGACTATTTACACAGGTATTAAATTTAGCTGATCCTTTTTCCCATCATGTATCTGGCAGCTTAGATGGACTTTAACGAAATTTAGGCTAAAGAAAATTATCTCCTCTTGAAAAATATCCTGGTCTTTTTTTCACTCAAGCAGGAATTACTTTTTAAGATTGGGGGATAGTTTTCATTCTCTGTGGCAACTTCCTCTTCCAAATAATTCGATTGTAATTAACTAGTGGGCTGTGCATGGGTAATCAAGGTGCTAGGCAGAGAAAGGGTTGGGCACTCCCAGTGTTTATCTTTACGACTTGGGTTTTGTTAGAAATTATATCTCAATCTCAAATGTTTTCAAACCTTGGAATCTACAGTTACGCAATAAATGGTGCCCCCTGAATCAAGCAGAAACAACAACAACCAATCTCTCAGGGGTTGATAGTTCACCCTGGCTTCGCCTCACCCCGGGGTGCGGGGACATGAGCCCTCTTCGGGGTGTTCATGCAGAAGGCATTTTACCAGAAGGGCTTCGGGAATCTTTTTATCCAATCTATAAAATCTGATTTGGTAAACTCTTTGTGAAAATAAGTCATCTCTTCCTGGAACTAGATCTAGTTTGAGGTGCATAGAGTTGTTCTCGTCAGTGGTCTCTCGTGCGGATCCTTCCCCCTTTATGTGCCTAGGATGGGGTATGGGGCAAAGACAGCTTACAGCCCGCAGAGGCCTGTTCTAAAAAGCAAGCATGGTTAGACTCTCCTTATAACCGGAATAACTGGTGTGGTGAGGTGTCAGTTTTCCTTACAAAGTACTTTTTTCTCAAGGACACTTATCGACACTTCTCAAATATGACTGAAGCCAAACACCACTGTTGATGTATTTTCAAATATCAAGCCTACCTTGGAAAAGTTTCTTCCAATGACAGACTGAATTCTGCTGATTTCAGCCATTAACCAGAAATTGGTGGGTTGGAAGTATTTGGGATGACTGTTGTAGCAAGGGTAGGTGGTTTTATGACAACTTTTTACTTTCAAGATTATTCTCATAGGAGAGGACATTCATTGCTCGTTTTATCATTTAAACTATGTTGAGTTCCACCTATATGTATAAAGTTTCATAATGCCTTGGAGTGATGACAGTAAAACATAAAAGAAAGATAAACATTTGTCTTAAGAATTTCATCTACTAGAAAATAAGAAACAAAATGAATAAACATATCAATGTAATAACTGTTTGCTGATCCAGAGTCATCAATCACTAAAGTGTGTTTCTGATCCGCATACCAAGGGAATTTTCACAGAAGAGTAAAATTTAAGCTAGACTTTAAAAGATAAGTAGTACCATGTTGTAGGGGAAAAACAGAAAACATTTAAAAGAACAAGATATTTGAAAAATGAAAGTAGACTCTAGGCTAAGAAAGTCTTTGGAAGAGAGGTGTTGGGGACAAGGCTGAAAAAAAAAAAAAGGTTTGATCTTATAAAGTGTCCCTAAAATCAAAGCTAAAGAGTTACTTTATTCCAACAGTCTTGGTCATTGAAATTTAATAAATCTTTATGTTTTACTTTCATAGAACATTATTGTGTTAATAAATGTTAATAAAATCTCCTATGGTAAGAGGAGACATTCTTAAAGAATCATAACCCTCCGCACTCAACTTACTAAAAAACCAGTGTGTTCATTTTAAGACCAGTTTTCTAATCTGTGCTCTACTACTGATTTATTGGTACAGGAAAAAATAACTTTTCTGGGTCATCATTTGCTCAAGTGTAAAATAAAGGAGCTAATAAAAATCACTTCTGAAGTTCTTCTAAAAATCAACTATTCTCATTCTGTTTCAGAAGCTTGTCTTTAACAGTGACAAAAGAGGAAAAAAATTACTAAACTTACTAATATGGGAACAGACTCTAAATTATTTGCAGAGTTGTTCTGATTAATCTGTATCCCAAAATAGAAACTTGCACTGAAAAAGAAGTCACATATGATACAGTCACTATACTTTTGTGATAAAAAAGTATCGTTGGAGGGTACATGATACATTTTGTTTTTGATAACAGGGCTATTAGTACAAATTATTTTTCAGCATAGCTAATGAAAAATTTTTAATCAATAAAATCACAGCAAAGTACTTTTAAATGAATGTTGGTTGATAACACTGACTAGAGTAATATTACTGACAACAGTAAATTTTGTCACTTAATTAAAAAAAATTACATCCATGTGGTGAAAAAGGAACTCTCCTGCACTGCTGGTGGGAATGCAAACTAGTACAACCACTATGGAAAACTGTTTGGAGGTTCCTCAAACTGCTAAACATGGAGCTTCCCTATGACCCAGTAATTCCACTCCTAGGTATCTACCCAAAAGACACAAAAACACTGATTGAAAAAGTTACCTGTACCCCCATGTTTATTGCTGCTTTATTTACAATTGGAAAAACATGGAAGCAGCCCAAATGCCCAAAAGTAGATGACTGGATAAAAAAGAAGTGGTACATATATACAATGGAATATTACTCAGCAACCAAAAAAGAGAAACACATGTCTTTTGCAGCAACTTGGATGGAACTGGAAAAGATCATGCTTAGTGAGATAAGCCAGAAAGAGAAAGAAAAATACCGGATGGTTTCACTCATAGCAAGAGTATAATGGACCAGGTGGAAAATAACAAAAGTAATGAACAACCATATACCAGAGACATTTTGTGGGAGTGGAGTGGGGAATGGGATCAAAAACGGGGTGGGGGGAGGGAAATGCACGGGATCATGGTGATGGCACATGGGTGACTTGGTGATGGGAAACCCGCGGGGATTGCAATTGAGATGGAAAAATAAATGTACAAAATGATGTAAAAAAAAACCTTTGGAAAAAAAAAAAAGGAAACAAAATTACATCCATAAAAGAACAAATTATTTTTCTTCCTTCTTTGAAATGGCAACATGTAAAACAAATTTAAGACTTTCCTAAAAGTAGAAGCAATGAGTTCATGAAAAAGCAGTGTTTTGTGTGAATGTCTAACAATTAGTGGTCATCAGGAAATTGGTTCAACTTTCTGTTCTACCTCAACTATCTCCCATAAGGGCAAGGGCACTATTTATTTGCTTGGTTTTCATTTCCTTTATATCATTTAAAATTACGGTCATGTTTTCATTTAAATGTTTATCTCCACACTAAGGCTAAAATAAATTTGAGTGCTGGGACTCTACACCTTTTGTGTCTGGTACATTTGTTACTCAACATTCATTGCGTAACTGAATCTTACTCATTTTCTGTAAATTGAGGGGGCTGGACTTTCTACCATGCTTTCCATCTTTGATCCTGTGATACATACAAATTTACTTTTAATCTTCTAAGTCCAGAGAAGTGACCTTTTCCTTTCAGCTTAAATTCTAGACCTCTATTCTCATTAGTGCTCTTCCCAAATCAGCATCTTTTTGTCCTAATTCAACTTGAAGATAAAAGTAGTAAAAGTAGCTACAGTGCTGCTAAGTTTAGACAGGAATAAAGTGTCACAGAATTTGATTTCGAGGGCCCTCCCTGGTGGCACCACTGCAGGCTGGCCACAGCTGCTTAAGTGTAAGTTCGATCCCCTGCACCAGAGGTGATCCACATAGCAAGGCAGACCTCTCGTCTTGCCGGCTGCTCCCTTCAGCAGTGTACTTCATTGATCTGCCTGTTTTGCTCCCCACTGTTTCTGGTGAAGTCTTTTATCGCCCCTGGCTTGTACCCCAGTTCTGTATGAATAAATCTTTAAAAAAAATTGCTATGTTTACTCTCCTACCTCTTGAAGTTATGACATGCACCTAAGTTAAAAATTTAAGATTAAACTTCAGAGCAATTTCTAAATGGAAAATGTAATATTTTAAAACTTAAGATGCTCAAAAACAAAACGTCATGACACTCCTATAGAATCCAAGAACACAATTCAGCACTGCATGGTCACTGGTGTGACAAAAATCCCAACTCAGTAAGAGCCATGACCCTGCAGTTGGGTGTACACATTTCTTTAATGTAAGTTAACCCATTACAATGCATCCAGTTACAATTAAAATCTTTATATTGGAAACCCACTTATTTGATCAACATAATATACAACCCAATAGATACAATGAAATCACTGACAACTTTGAGATATTATAGCTAAATTACAAAAAAAAATTGGATAATGTAGACAACCCCAATAATGTAATCTCATACTGTGCTTAATTTAACATCAAATGGCATATAAAATTGGGAAAGGGAGATTAAAAGAATTGTGCTTTTTCCTTGAGCCAGACTTGGATACTAACAAGACAAGGGTTAATAGATATGGAAGTATCTAGTCCATTGTGCTTTTTACATAGTTTTCTTGCTATCTCTAGCTATAAACCTTAAATCTGTTCCTCTGGGTAAATTCTTTTAACTCAAGTATAACACAATACTAGGCATTCTTTAAAATCATTTTCTATCAACTATAAAAAAAACACTCAGATAAGAACTGTAAAATCATTTTCTTTTAGAAGGCATCAAATATTTAGGGAACTTTATTTTTAAAGGATAAATCAGATAAGACACAGCTTTTATTAACCCAAACATGCATAATCCATTCTGAATATAAAATGCACTCAATTGGTAAATTACACATGAAATACAAAGGGAATGGAACTTCACATATGTAAAACAGTAGCAATTTAAGTCAAATTAATAGACGCTATACATTAAAAAAATCTTAAAGCCAATTATCTATAACTAATAGAGGGATATTCTGATAGGAATGGTTTGACTCAAAGCAAAGAATAAGGCACCTGCTATGAATTTAGAACTTTCATTTTTAGAGTTAAAATAAAATAGAATTAACCAAGACATTGTGTCAAAGAAGGAAACAAGTATAGCGGTTGATTTCCTGGGTGATAAAGGCAAGTAACAATGCAGGAAAAAAACCTGCTGACAAGGTCAGCTGATACTTTTCCTATTCTGGAGTAGTCAGATTCCTAAATGTTCTTAACTACTCCTCTCTCTCACTCTCCCCATACTTGGGAGTATAAAGAAACTCAGAGGTTCACACTGTGTAAAAGCTAGGTAGATTTCCCTTCTGTTCCTTGTAAAACAGCTTATTTTAAAAGAGGTAACCTGTGGCAATTATAGGAAACAAGCAGTTTTCTGCCCAATTCATTAATACAGAAACCTCTCAGGTTTTTTACATCAAGTTATGGCTAAGTACATAAATAGCCACTACTTAAGTTTTCAACAAGACCAGAAAACCCAAAACCTGCCTATCACTCACCCTTACCACTAGTAAAGTTTGATCAACATAGCTGATAAAAATCACACAAGAAAGGGAAGACAAAAGAGAATTAACTAATTCCAGATGACGCTTTAATCTGATATATCTAGTAGCATTTTAATCACATTTTCTAGAAATGCATTTCCAAACTAAGTACAATTTTTTTTAGTTGATGTGCCTTTTTGGTATTAAAAGTGCTATCAACATGCTAAGATGTCTAATGGCACACTGGACTCAACAGAATGTCTTGATGAAGCATCCATTTTTAGTAGTATTATCCCCTAAACTGTTGTCTAGCATAGTAGATTCCTTTGATATATTAAAGTGATTCTGGTCAAATCAATGTGACATAAACAAGCTTTCCCTGACTTTATTCCACCCGTGGTAGCTTTCAGTGAAGTGAAACTGAAGTGACTGATTAAGTTGCAAAATGCTCAACCAATTTTTTTTTAATGGCATCTTAGGTTAGTATATTCATTCATGCAAAATCCAAGGTAGTATAATAGAGATATTGTTAAAATAGACATTGTTGCTATAAGCATCTCCCCTTATATTAGACATTTAGAAGCTTTTAAAATTGTTTAGGTGCTTAAGACTGGAGAAACTAGGCTAATAGCAGTTGTTCCACTTATAAGCACCTTACAGGACAGTTACATGATGCTACATGGGAGTGTGCTTTCAATTCATGAGACAGTAATAAAGTGCCTAGATATAAAAAACCATGATTCCAAATTTTAAAGTAAGCTAACTGCATTTACACATTAGGGTTAGCAAAACCTAGACCCTGTCTACACAGATTTAATCTAATTATTATACTGTATACTGTTTTAAGAACACATTTAAAAAACTTAAGTCTTTACTGACTGAATAAGCAGGGTCCACTACTATTAGCTTAACAATCAAATTTTATTGCTTTATTCATGTGGTGCTTTTGCAAGGCACTGTGGTATGGACTAGAAAAATTGGAATGACTTGTGAAGAAACCTTGGAATGACACATGAAGGATGATAAGAAAAGTCATTCTGAGGCAGGATGCTTTACTGAATTATTTTAAACTAGGGTATCAAACATCAGGAATGAGTTTAAGTTAAAATTCACAGGAGAATGGAAACATCTCAAGGTCAGTCACTTCACATGCCCATCCTGATACTTTGAATAATCTGGAAAATTGCTGTAAAGAGAAAGAGCACAAAATTAGAACATACTTTGATTAAAATGGGTCTAGCAACTGACAAAAATTATTAAGGTAGTTCAAGAATTCAAGGGCACCATTACAATTATTTACAAGTGCCAGGTAACTTCATTACAATGAAGAAACAAGGACAGAGTTATCTTAATGTGACAATTAAATGCCTTTAAGCTGTTGCTTTAAAATCTCAGTTTTCTGAAATTTATCTTTGAAATGTTCAAAAAAGCTTGCAGATAAGAAGTCATTTCAGAAAGATGTTAAAGCACAAAGCAAACAGGTTTTTCTAGCATTGAATTATTTTGCTTTATCCTTAAATAATTAAGCGTCCTTTGAAGGCCAAGACAATAAATATGCATGTCACCTCATTCTCACAAAGCTGAAATTCAATAATCTTTAGGTTACATAAATTGCTTGGCTCTTGGCCATAATTATCAGGAAAAGCTTCCCAATTGGTAAGTTTAGAAGACAAAGTGAAATGTTTACCAAAACTCACTAACTTAAAAATATCCAAATGTGGAAAGGAGAAATACATTTCACCATTAACAGCTTTGCAAACTAAGAAAAGCAAGGCATTCGTGATCCATTTGCAGAGAGAGGCAAGACTCACTCTAACAGCAGGTTGTGCCCACAACCTACCATATGCAAGCGTTTCTTTCATTAAACTAAAATTTGTAACACACATTAAATTGCCATTCAGGTGAATTTCCTCTGGAAGGAATCAGCTCTGCACTAGCCTCCCTTCATAAACCACACTCAATTTTTACATAAAAACAAATCGAGCTCAAATATCTACATGTACATGTTGTTCATAGGCTCTTCTGCAAAGGCACCAATAACTGGCGCGCAAAACAAAATTTCACTTTGTGAGGTGTTTTTGTTTAAATTTCTTCCCAACTGACCATTACGAAGGACCTGACCCCTTTTCTGATCTCCTGTGAGCACAAATCAAGCTGGCAGCAGTTTCTGGAGCACCAATGTCTGAGCATATGTGGGACAAGTAATCTGGTTCACATGCAGGGGAATTATGTGGCGCTCTCGGCAGGTGGGTTGAGCACTGAGCGGATAGGATTCACCACTGCTGGGTCACCACGTCATCCCTAACTCAGCCAAGCCGTACTCGGCAGTGGCCCCCCAAACACTTACCAGAGCCACAAACCACAAATATGAAGAGAGCCAATAACCAGGGTCCTACAGACGCCTTCTCTTCGGGAGCATTTCTCTGCAGAAGGGAAAAGGCACCGTTTCAAATGCACAACAATCACCCCGATCCCGGGGTCCCACGGCCTGCGCCGCGAGCTAGGTCTCGCGGGGGCCCCTACCTCAAAGATCTCCCCTCCGTTCCCAAGTCGCCCAGCTACCGCACCCAGCTCCCGAACCCCTTCCCCCAGGGAAGCGTCCAGCTCGCGGCCTCTGGCTCCGGGGTCCGCCGGCCACGGGGAGACCTCGACGCGACCGCGACCCCGGCCCTCCGTCCCGGCTCCCGAACGGAGAGCGACGCCCGCTCTCACCGAGGTCTTGGCGACATTGCCGCGCTGGGTGATGTTCTTGCTGTGCTTCTCGTTGGCCATACGGATCCGCTGCTTGGCGACCATCTTCGCGGCACCACCACCTGCCCCGGGAACCCCGCGGGCTCGCTCCCCTCCGGTCGCTGCGACGCGACGCGACGCGACGCGACGCGACGCTCCTGGTGCCCGCGCCGCCGGAGCGAGGAGGCTCTCAGGCGGGCGCTAGCTTCGGCCGCTGGGCCTGGAAGCGAGCGCGGGGTACGAGCGCTGGCGGGCGCGGGCGGCCGACAGCCTGACGACGCCGGACTGGCCGGCCGAACGAGGCGGGAACGCGGGAGGCGAAGAGCGGGCGGCCGGGACAGTCTCGCGCCGCCGCCGCCGCGAGCGTGGAGTGAAAGAGGAAGGAAACGCAACGCAACAACCGACGGCGCAGCCTGTCGCCTCGAACTACTTCGGGTTCGGCTGCCAACGTCAGCACTGAGAGGGCTCCGCCCCGCGGAAGTAAGGACTCCGCCCGCCGAGGAAGAGGTAAAGGGCGGGCGGGGGCGGGCGCACCGGCCTCCGGGCCGGCCCGCCCACGCTAGCCAAAGTGTCGCCCTGGAACTGCGCGCGCACGTCGGCCTCCCTTTCTGGGGCTCTCGCCCGCCGGAAGTGAATTGGCCCCGAGGCTGCTCGCCCCGGAAACACCAGCCCGCCCTCGTTCTCCAAGCCGGAGGAGACGTGTAGGGGACGGGTTCGGCTCTCGTGAACTGTCACCCCGGCGCTTGGGTTTCTTTTTCCGGAACAACATGGCGCCATCCACGCCGCTCCTGACAGGTGAGCTCTGAAAAAGCGAGGGAGTGTTTCTTCTGAGCACCCCCTTTTGTGTCTTTTCTCTTGGGGACTATGCGGAAAAACTTGGAGTGTGACCCTCCGTTTCTTAAAATTGGAAGGACCACACAGCCTTTAGGATTCGCAGTGTAGCGTGGCAGTCGGAAGTTAGGCCTCTGCGTCTAGGCTCCAGCCTGTCTTGGCTTCGTCAGTCCGTATTTCTTCTCTGCCGCTTCAAGTTCTGTAGGAATAGGAGGAGGAAAATGGCAGAAAGTGTAATTCAGTTATCCCAGGGTCTGCGATGCCTGGTGGCTGGCTGGCCTTGCTAATAGTTAAGGCAGTTGTGGTGTAATAAGGGAAAAATATAACGATATGCCTAAGTTTGCTGGAATACACTTGAACTAAACACACCTGAATTTAAATAATACCAAATTCTCTACTCTTTGCCTTAGTGAAAACTATTACAGGGCAACCCAGTGTGAACTGGGCTGCCTGTCTGTGGGTCCTCACCCACGCGCTTAAAACTTAATTGTACTGCAGGCACACACAAAAGGGTCGATAATGGATATATTTACAAAAGGGGACAGAAAAAGGAACAACTCAGGAAAAGAGAGAGCCATGCAAGGTAACTGGAACATCTTACCAGCCCCGCTGACTTGGAACTTCATTAACAACAGAGTGGAACTGTGGTCTTACAGGCTTCAGGTGATGCAAGTGAGTTCTGTAGTGGTAGCATTGAGTATAAGAAGACATTCTAATAACACTCTTGATAATTGAAATGGTCCTTAGCATTTTAGAATTATATTAGAGAACTCGTTTGGTTTCGAAGCAGAGACAGAGCTTATTATGTCAAAGAAGATAGTAAACAGCCTTGACAGTGCCAGGGAAGACTGGACTAGATTAACTAGATTATGGCCCTGCATTTCTTTTTCTTTTTTTTTTTTTAAAGAGTTATTTATTTATACTTACAGAGGTGTGGTGGGTGAGGAGATTAACCAGAGACAGCGTGGGGAGCAGAACAGGCAGATATACACTGCTGAGGTTGGCAGCTGGAGGGTAAGGAGAGATCTGCCACGCCATGTAGGTCAGCTCCCTGGCCTGGGATGGAACTCTGCTGTTGTGGCTTCAGAGATCTTCATAATGCGGTGCTTTAACCCGTTGTGCCTCCAGGGAGAGCCTTCTTTTCTTTTTTTAATATTCACTTATTTATGCATAGAGAACTAGGCTACAGGCCAGAGGTGCAGTGAGAGTCTTCACCAGAGACAGAGTGGGGAGCAGAACAGGCAGATCAAGTGAAATACACTGCGGAGGGGAGCAGTGGGTGAGACAGGAGAGGTCTGTGCCATGTGGATCACCCCCGCTGTGTGGATCACCCCTGGGCCAGGGATTGAACTTACACTGAAGCAGCTGCGGCTAGCTTGCGTTGATGGGTCCTAACCGGCTGCGAGGACCCAACGGTCCTGCATTTCTTGTGTGACTGTCAACTGAGTAGAGTGGAGTTAGGAGAGAAACAAATACAAGACTGCAAGTGACAACAGCTTAACTTACATAGAGGGAGAACAAAGACATTAAGAGAAAACTTGTTGGCCTTTGGGGAATGGGACTATTTGCCCTAGAAATGTGAACCTTCAAAGGCTTTTCACTTTTTACCACTCTATATTTTAAGACCTTTTGTTAGGCACCTTGCAAATAAATATTTACTCAGACTACCGTAATGAATTCATCAAACATTTACCCAAATCTGACTATAGTTTGCTAAATAACAATTTTCACCTGCTAAGCAGGTGCTGTTTAAAAATTCATGATTCAATAGTTAAATTTTTCTATAGTTTCACATAGATAACTTGTGTATTTAAAAGATGGTTTGGTATAAAATGTACTAACAATAAATTAGTACATTTTAAAAAGTAACCCCCTTTTAAAAATTAAAGGGCCTTCAAATGGCATTTCATTGCTTACAGAGTAAATTCAATCCTGTTTAGCATAATGTGGAATCCTTTATGACTTACTCTTGATATTTATTTCCTTGCTACTCCATTGTATTGTGTTTCCGTCAATAACTACCTGCTTATAATACCCTGGACTTACATTTCTCTTGGTTTGATAAACTTCATTTCATCTTTTAAAATTTACTTCAGACATCATTGCTTTGTGAAACCTTCCTTACTCTTCCCAGATAGTGACTCCCCAAGTTTGTATTTGATTTTTACTTTATTTTTTAAAACTTATCATATAGGTTATTACCTAGTTGTTTAGATATTTTTATCCCTGGCTATACTCTGAACCCCTTGAGGTCAGTGCAGGGTCTTATCACCCCTGTGTTTGTAGCAAGTACAGCAACTGGTGAACAATAGAAACCACATACTTAAATGGAAGAGTAAATTAATGATGGAAACCATTTATGTCATCAAATTGACTAAGAACAACCTTATATAATGCCTAAAATGAAGGGCTTTGTAAGAACTTAACTGTTGTCTGGTAAGTCTGTGCCTCAGTTTTTAAATTCATAGAGGTTGAGAGAAATTGTGTCCTGGTTCACAGTACATATTGGCAGTCAGGATTATATTTAGTTCTTCATCTCCATGGTCATTTTTCTTTTACTAGACAAGATCAATTATCAATTAGTCTGTCAAACATTCTTGGTATAGGTATTTTAACCAACAACTGATTCATTTACTTCTGAAAAAAAAAAAAAACTTAACGTAGAGCCAGAGGATTTTAGAGTTGTGAATAAATTGGAGATTATTTAGTAACTCTTACATCATGACTCTTGATTGGAAATGGCAAAAAACCAAAGGAGATAAAAAAAAAGCTTTATGTTTACTCTCATGTGATCTAAAAAGCCTCAGCACTGCCCGGTCAAGGTACTCTTGCTTTCTTGATTGAATTCATTCTCAGGTTAACATTATACAGGGGAGCTCCAGATTTATATTCAGCCAACTCAACAGCCCTAAATGAAGAGTCCATTTTTGCTAGTAGTCCCAGCAAGTTGCAGGCTTTCATTTTGGCTTAGTTCAGCTTGGCTCTTTTCATTTTTGAATACGTACGTTACTTTTAATTAAATCTCAGAACTAAATTATAGTATCATACCTGATAGCTCCCACAGGAAAATTAGAGTCTTCTTATAAAAGTACCCAGATGAGAGGCATGTAAAACATAGTGTTCCAACCTTGCCTCATTGAGGACATTGAGCTAATTTATTCAAAAGTGAGCCATTTTCCTAAATTGATAATGTACCTCAGTGGACATAAAGATAGAAAAAGTGTATTATAATGATAAACATATCCCTTATATGGGGCTCCTGTTTGTTGAAACCCAATGGTTTTCTGTACTAACTCAAGCCTAAAGCAATAAATTAAAGTATCTAGAATGACTAGTAAGTTTAGAAAAGACCTATAGGCACAATATTTAATGTGATTATTATATTTAAGTAGTTACTGTATTTAAAATGAAAAAAAATTTTTTTTTAGTTGCTGTTAGATTTTTCTTTTTTATAGAACATATTACCAATCCCCTTTGAAGTATGTGGCCCTGGGAGATAATTGAGAAGGTAATTTGAGTGTCAAGAACAAAAGAGTCACATCTGTTAATCACATTTACAGTTTATTAAGAGCAATGTACATATAGCGGTTCTTTGCACCAGAGTGGGTAAATAAGATTTTGGGTCCGAAGCCACACCACAAGAAGACAGTGGTCTTATACCATGCTTAGTGTTTGTGACATTATTGTGTTAAGACTAATGAACTCAGACTTCTAGGAAGCCATGTCACTTGCTATACTTAATTTTACTAACATTAAGAGTTGTGTATGGTGGGGATTACAACCAAGATGACAAAATGCACAAAATGAAGAATGATGTAAAAAAATAAGAGTTGTGTATGGGTCATGCATATAGGATAATATATGTAAAGGAAACAATGGGGAAATTGCCTGTTGAGGGTAGAGCAATTATAGGTAATGGGCACAAGAGGGAGTTATTTTGATTTTTCCACAATTGGCTCCAGTGCCAAGGATCCCTGTAGGTAATTTGCCTTTATTATATTTTAAATGTGATTAATGAATGTGTCTGCTTGTTCTTAAATTATCTTCTCAGTTTGGGGAACTTATTGGGAATCATCTATCAAATCAGAATGCATTATATCAAGCTATTAATACCTCCACATTCTGTTTACTGGTTCAATTTCTGTCACTTCTAATTAGTAAATTACTTGTTAGAAAGTCATATTGGGGCTTCCCTGGTGGCTCAATGGAAGCGATCCTCAGCCACTGCAGCATGAGTTTAATTCCTGGTCAGGGAAGTGACCCATATGGCATAGCAGACCTCTCCTGTCTGGACTGCTATTCCCTTTAGCAATGTATTTCAGTATATCTCCCTGCTCTGCTCCCGACTCTGTCTCTGGTGAATTCTCTTACAACACCCCTCATCCCTTGCCCCTGCTGGCTTATATACATAAATAAATCTTGTGGGGGGAAAAAAGAAGTCATATTGTGGGAAAAAAATTTCAGTTGCTGAGAAGAGTATGAGTACATTTTTATTAACTAATGCAGTTTATGTTTGGTTATGAACATGATGAAATAATGTATTTGTTTAAATTAGTGGTGTATGGCCCCTCCCTGGTGGCCCTAAGGTTTAGGATGCAGCACTGCAAGATAGCCGCATCCGTGTCAGTATGAGTCTGGAGGGGACCCACATGGCGCAGCAGACCTCTCCTGTCTCTCCTACTGCTCCACTCAGCAGTGTACTTCATCAGTGTGCCAACTCTGCTCCCCACTCTGTCTGGTGAGTCCTTTGTACCTCCCTTGCACCTTTGGTCTATATCTCAGTTCTGTATGCATAAATAAATAAATCTTAAAAAAGTAAAATAGTGTTTTATATGTATGAATAAAACTTTAATGATTATGAGCTTTATGAAGAATTCACTTGATAATTAGTTCCCGTAAAATAGACATTGCTGGCCCTCCCTGGTGGCATAGCCGGTTAAAGCACTGCACTGAGAAGCTAAAGC